TTTTTAATAACTGTTATCAGTTGTGGTTATTTCTCCAGGGGAGGGTTCATGGAGTTGTCCATGCCACCCTTCTGGAAGTTGAGCTCTCACAACAGATTCAAGGTGAATGTAACTCAGGGGTTGTCCTCAGATTCTCTCTGCAAACATTTTAGGCTTAGTTGTCATACCTGGTGTGTTCTGTATGCTGGCCAGGCAAATTGGGTAGAATTCCAGTAGGCCTGGCAGCTTTTATTTGACTTTTATTGAATGTTAAAAAAAAATAATAATTGGCTTCTCTCATGTACTTACTTGTGACTTTCTCTTCACTGTAATAACCTCTGCTTTTCTGGGGATGGGGTTTTGATTGATTAGAAGCTGGAGGAAGCAGCGTCTCGTGCTGCAGAAGAAGAAAAGAAGCGCTTGCAGACTCAGGTGGAGCTACAGACCAGGTTCAGCACAGAGCTGGAGCGGGAGAAGCTGGTGAGGCTGAAGGCCAGGGAGGCCATCCTTTCACCTTACGGTGGCTCCTGCAGGAGTTATACTTTTGTTCAATCATCATTCCTTTATTGAGAACCTACTGTATATCAGAGATGTAGTGGTAAAGGTTAGGAACTTTGTTTTCAAGACCTCTAAGCAGAATTGTATGCAGAGAGTGGTAGTGCTTGGTTAATGTGATTAGATGTCTTCGAAGTGTCCCTGTTATCCAGAGATAATTATTTATTTTTACATCTTTAAATTGAATTTTTGAGATTTTCATGCAATATAATTTGATGCTATTTAGATCCCCTCCCCTTTTTGCCCCCCACCCAGTTTAATGTACTCCATTACATATATATAAGGCCTACAGAGTCTAATTTGTGTCCCCAAATGTGCTTCAGTGTGAGTCCATCCACTGGAGCCTGGTTAACCTACCAAGAGTTGCATCCTTGAAAGAGACTGTCTCTCTTCCTCCCAGGAGCCATCAATTACCAAAAGTTCCTTAGGTTGGGGTTTCTTACTCACTTCCCCATGTCTATGCTGGGATTTTGTCTGGTTTGAGTTTGCATGGGACTTGTGCATGCTGTCATCATTGCTGCGAGGTCATATGAGTAACTGACCAGCTGTCTGGAAAACTGTTTCCTTGTGGTCATCCACCACCTCAGACTCTTACACTCTTTCTGTCCCCTCTTACGCAGTGATCCCTAAGCCTTAGGAGGCAGAAGTTTGATATAGTTGTCCAGGGATAATTGTTAATAAGAATCCTTTTCATTCTCAGAAGACTTCTGGTTTAGAAGATAACTAGCTATGAAAAAGCAAGCCTAGGTCCCCAATGTTTCTGCTGTGTAATGAGCAAAGTGAAACCCTAGAACACCTGGATTCTGATTCTGTTCCTGTTTTTTCCAAGGTCTAGGTTGCTGAGCATAGTTAACTGGAGTGTAGCTCTTTCACTGAGTGCTGTTGAATGAGAATACCGAGCCCAGTGTCTGAACATGCTCACAGCATTGCCATTAGTAACTTGGTTGCTTACAGTGAGAGCCATGCTTGAGGAAGGCAGATGTGATGTATGTAAGGATGCTGGGCCATCCCTCCTTCCTGCTCTCTCTCCCTGAGCACTAGTGTGCCAAGTGTGTGCTTTTTGGATCAGGGGTTATCCCACAATCTGTCTAGCCCTTGTGAGGACAAAGTGAGCTGATGTAGTGAAATAGTTCAAAAACTGCAGACACATGCCAGTGAGAGGGAGAGGAGGTGGAGTAGCAGGGAGCCTCCAGGCAGGCCTGGCTTCCTTCCCTGCAGCTCAGCCTGGGCTGTTCTTTACTTTTTGTTTTTTTTTTGTTTTTTTTTGTATTTTTAAATTATTATTTATTTTTTGGTCTTTGAGACAGGGTCTCCCTGTAGCCCCAGCTGTCCTGGAACGTACTATGTAGACCAGGCTGGCCTTGAATTCACAGAGATCTGCCGCCTCTGCTTGGAGAGTGATAGGATTAAAGGCTGCACCACCTCGTCCACTCTTTATAAAAATAGAGTGGAAAGGACAGAAAATATGCCAGAGCAGGACCACAGCTTGGGTTGCAGTTTATTTTTAGTCCAGAGCCACTGGTATTGGGTTTCCTCCATCTACAGTTCAAGGGTAGGAGGTGGAGTGGGAGCCTTGCCTGGGGGAGAAGTTGTCTGTGTTTAAACATAACCATCACCCTTTTATACCTCCAGATCAGACAGCAGATGGAAGAACAGGTTGCCCAGAAGTCCTCTGAACTGGAGCAGTATCTGCAGCGAGTGCGGGAGCTGGAAGACATGTACCTCAAGCTGCAGGAGGCTCTCGAGGATGAGAGACAGGCCCGGCAGGATGAAGAGATGGTGCGGAGGCTTCAGGCCAGGTGCAAGATTGGTTTGCAGCCCTTGTCATTATGTGCTTTTCTTGGGCTGATGGTTCCATGGATGGCCAACACTGGTAGAGAGGGAGGGAGGGCATCTCAGCCCTGGCAGTGACTGAGCCCACATCATCTAGCCTGGGAGGCTTTGAGGATTGGTATTTTTCAGGTATTTATTCTTGTTTTTGAGATTGGGTCTCTCTGCAGTCCCAGCTAGTCTGGAACTCACTATGTAGACCAGGCTGGCCTCGATCTCAGAGAGAGCTGCCTGCCTCTGCCTCCCAAGTGCTGGGATTAAAGTCTTGCCTGATCCTAGTATTTCTTTTTATCCTTGGGCATTAAAACCTTTGCTTGGGAAGCAAAAGAAGGGGTCTTAGAGCTGTTTGCAAGCAGCCTGTTGGGTATGTTTGAGGGTTGCCCTTATTCATGAAATCTTGGTTTTGCCAGCCTATTTGACCAGAGCAGGCCCTTGGCATAGAGGCAGAGCTGGCTCAGGCCAGAGCTGCCCCAGAGGCTTTGAAGATAAGGAGGAATACACACTTTCTGTTTGGTCCTTTGGGATTGGCACCATTTCATTAAGAATTCTTGCTTGTAATCAGTAGATGCACCTCAGCTTCAAGCAGGGACACCTACACCTACACCTATACTTACACACTTTAGGGAGCAGTTAGGAAGTGAGCTGGTAGGATTTGCATGGCTGCCATTCTTCATGTGGGGTACCTAAAGATGCTTGTTTAATCCTTAGGAAGAAGCAGGAAAGGGCCAGTGAGATAGCTCTGTGGGTAAGAGCACTCTTGCATAAGCCTGACCACCTGAGTTCAATCCCCAAACTCACATAAAGGTGGAAGGAGAGAACCAACTCCACAGAGTTGTTCTCTGACCTCCACACATGCCATGGCACACAGCCCCCATACATACACAGGCGATATTAATAAATATTTAAAAACAACAATAAAAGAACAGGAAAGAGAAATCTCCTATAGTTGTATACTTTGCTAAAAGTGACTTCAAAAATAACTTGATTTGGGACTGGCTAGATGGTTTTGTGGGTAAAAGTGCTTGCTACACAAGCTTGGTGACCTGAGTTCAATCCCTGGAACCCATGTAAAGGTGGAAGGAGAGAACCAATGTCACACAGCTGTGCTCTGACCTCCCACTTGTGTTATGGCATGCCCATACATACACACATATACACAAATAAAATTATTTTAAGAAGAAAAGAGGTTGAGAAAAAAATTACCTCTGGGACTGGAGAGATGGCTCAGTGGTTAAGAGCACTGACTGCTCTTGCAGAAGACCCGGGTTCAATTCCTAGTACCTACATGGCACCTAACAACCATCCCTAACTCCAGTTCCAGGGAGCTCTCTTCTGACTTCTGTGGGCATTGCATGACACAGGTGCACCTACATACCTGTAGACAGTACGCGCATACACATAAGATCAAAAATAATAAATAAAAATAAATTTTTAAAAATTAACCTTCTAGTGCCGGGCGTGGTGGTGCACGCCTTTAATCCCAGCACTCCGGAGGCGGAGGCAGAGGCAGGCGGATCTCTGTGAGTTCAAGGCCAGCCTGGTCTACATAGTGAGTTCCAGGACAGCTGGGGCTACAGGAAGACCCTGTCTCAAAAAGACCAAAAAAAAAAAAAAATTCTCATCAGAAAAATAAGTGTTTGGCATATTCCCTGGCGCATTCAGTCCCTATGGCTGTGGACCCTGGACTGTGGTGGCAGCCAGGTACTTAGAGCCACCTCTGGTGCTGTTGACAGTGGCATTAGCAGAAGGTCCAGTAAGGGGAAGGTGCAAACCCCATGCTACTAACAAAGACTGGCACTTGGAATGACACTGGACAGTTTGGAGCCGCTTGATGATTTGTTTTGTGCTGGGAGTTTATAGATTGTTCTTGTGCACAGAATCTACAGGGGAGGCTATAGTTCTAGTTTTGAGGGAAATTGATTATAACGCAATGGCGATTACATCACAGAAAACTAGATAACTCTAGAAATTTACTGAAGTGTCAGTTCTTCAGTGTTTATGGAATGAAGTGATACTTTTTCTCTTGGTATTGGGGACTAAATGATTCATTGAACAAGGGACAATTTTGGAGGCTTGAAATCATTAGTATTTAGCCACAGTGACATACGTCAGAGTCGTCTTACTGAGGTTTTTAAAGATACGCACGTGGGCCTGTCCCTAAATTTACTGAATTAAAGTATGTGTGGCCAGAAGCAAGGCATGAGATTTTTTTCCTTTTTAATATTTTATTATTTTTATCTTTTAAGTGTGAGAGTATTGCTTGCATGTAGGTAGGTGCACACATGTTGTGTAATGCCCGCCGAGGTCAGAAGAGGACGTTGGATCCCCTGGAGCTGGAGTTATGGACAGTTGTTAGCCCCATGTGGGTGCTGGGAATCAAACCTGGGTCTTCTGCAAGAGCAGTCAGTGCTCTTACCCACTGAGCCATCTCTCCAGCTCTGGCATGAGAATTATTTTAAAAGCTCTGGCTAATTATTTCATATGCAAATGTAAAAATGGTTTCAAACTTTTGAAAAATATAACATGTATTGCCTGCATGTAGGTCAGTGCACCAGTGTCGTGCAATGCCCACGGAGGACAGAAGAGGCTGTCAGATCCCCTGGAACTGGAGTTACAGACAGTTGTTAGCTGCCATGTGGGTGCTGGGATTTGAACCCAGGTCTTCTGCAAAAACAATCAGTGTTCTTAACTGCTGAGTCATCTCTCCAGCCCCTACAGCATAAAATTTTAACTTTTTCTTGAATGTGCAAAGGCTGTTTTCTGAATATAATTATTTTACTCTTCTAAATTTTCATCTTAGCTTTTGGCTGTTGAGAGAGACGAATTTGCCCCATCTAGTGGTCATTTTTAAGTGAGCACGTTCTCTCTTTTCCTAGAGCCCCTGAGAGCTGGACCTCGTTTAGAGAGATCTGTCAGACTGGCAAAGGAAGCTTCCTCAGGATAGGCCCAAGTAGAAAGCACAGGGGAAATCGGCAGGGAGTTGGGCCAGGAGCATGGTGCCATGAAAGGACTCAGGGTGCATGGAAAGGCTTTTTTTTTTTTTTTTTCCAAGACATGCTCTTTCTTTGTAGACTAGGCTGACCTCAAACTTTGATCCTCCTGCCTCAGCTTCCCAAGTGCCAAGAGGTAAAGGACTTTTTAGACAATTCTGCTCTTTCTTTATTATTATTATTATTATTATTATTATTATTGTATGTGTATGACTGTATTTCCTGCATGTATGTAAGTGCACATGTGTTGTACAATGCTCACAGAGGTCAGAAGGGGGCATTGGATCCCCTGGAACTGGAGTTACAGATAGTTGTTAGCCACTGTGTGGGTGTTGGGAACTAAACCCAGGTCCTCTGCAAGAGCAGCCAGTGCTCTTAACCCCTGAGCCATCTCCCCAGCCCCTCTGTCCTTTTAAAACAGCAGCCAACTGCCTTGAGCATCTCAGCCCTTCTAATTCATTGTTCTTTCTCTAGAGATAGTGTCTGTAGTTTTTATTTATTCCTATTGTTTCAGTTTCTTATTGTGCACGATTATATGTATGTGGGCAAATGTGTTTGTGTATGTGTGTGTGTGCATGTGCATGGGTGCATGCACATGCATACAGAGGCCCCAGGTTGATGTTGGGAATCACCCTCAATTGCTCCTCCACCTTATTCATTGAGCAGGATCTCTCAGTCAAACTCAGAACTCATGATGTAGTGAGTGTTGCTATCTTAGTTAGTTCTGGGGACTCTCCCATCTTTGTCTTCCAAGACCACAATTACAGGTGGGCTACCACATCCACCTGGCACTTACATGGGATCTGGCCTCCAGTCTGCATGCTTTTTTGGTAAGAGCTTCAAACTCTCAGCCATCTCCCCAGCCCTTCCTTTGTGTTTTAATGTTTATGTTTTGTTTTGTTTGAGACTTGTAGCCCAGGCTGGACTCAAATTTGCTGTGTGTTCAAGGATGGCCTAGAATTGCTAATCCTTCTGCGCCTCTGTCTCTTGAATGCTTGGATTACAAGTGTACACCACCAAGCTGGGCAGTAAATTACTTTGAATACAGGAACTTTGCCTTGAGCTGTCTGGATCTTTTTTTTTTTTTTTTTTTTCCTCTCTTTTTGAGACAGGGTCTCCCTGTAGCCCCAGCTGTCCTGGAACTCACTATGTAGACCAGGCTGGCCTTGAACTCACAGAGATCCACCTGCCTCTACCTCTAGAATGCTGGGATTAAAGGTGTACGCCACCATGCCCAGCTCTCTTGTAAATTTTTTGTCACTAAAATTGAAGTTTGGTTTTTTTAAATATTTTATTTGTTTTATTTTATCTTATGTGTATGTGTGTATTGCCTGTATGTAGGTAAGTGCACCAGTGTTGTATAATGCCCATGGAGGACAGAAGAGGCCATTGGATCCCCTGGAATTGGAGTTATGGACAGTTATTAGCTGCCATGTAGATGCTGGGCTTTGAACCCAGGTCTTCTGCAAGAACAACCAGTGTTCTTAACCGCTGAGCCATCTCTCCAACTCCCTGAAGTTTGGTTTGTATTGTGTAGTTCTGAAGATTAGGTAGCCTTTTCTGAATGGGAACTCAGAGGAAAACTATTTTTTGTTTTGTTGCTTTTATGAGACAGCAGCTCCCTGTAGCTCCAACTGGCCTGGAACTTGCTATATAGACCAGGATAGCCTTGTTCTCACAGAGATCCGCCTGCCTCTGCTTCCTGGGTGCTGAGATTAAAGAACGTGTCACCATGCTGGGCTTGAGAAAACTGTTTAAATATTTGGAAAATGCAGGTATTGGAAAGTTCTGGAAGTTAAATCTACCCCATTATAACTTTGCTTTAAAAGTTTGGATTCAAACTAGATATGGTAATGCATGTCTATAATCCCAGAGCTGTATTTATGTCCATATAAGATCCTGTCTCAAAAATCTAACCAAACAACGAAATTTTGGATTTGTGAGACCTAGGAGCATGTCTTAGTCACATCTGTGTTCCCAGCAGCTAGCCCAGTGCTCAGCAAATAATAAGTTGGTAAGTGTCTGGCGAATTATTATTGTTGTTATTTTGAGAAAAGGCCTCAAATTCTGCCTTCTGAGTGCTGGTATTATAGGCGTGAACTACCACGTCTAGTACTTAATTGAACCCAGGGCTCCATGCCAGCCCCAGGGAATATTCTTTGAATGAATGAATGGTCCAAGTTGTACCTACTGAGGCCATGTGGAACTACTTCTTCTGTTCATCTGATGCAGTATTTTTCATGTCTTTGAAGGTAGTTAGGGTCCAGGTTCTGGAGTGAGGTATGGGTACTTTCTGGCTGTATAACTTTAAAGAAGTATTTTACTTTGTTGAACCTTTAGTCCCTGATCTGTACAGTCAGGGTAGCTGCCAGCTTTGGGGCTGTGAAGATGAAGTAAGACAGTGTGGGCATCGTTTGTTTCCACATGTGGCCGTTGGGAAGCACGCAGCTGCAGCTTTCTGTTCCTTTATCTCATTTGCACTTGGGGAACATACATCATGTATAGAATGTTAAGTAAGCATTCAAAAAGATGTTGACAGGCTGGAATGGTAGTTTTAGACCACGGAGATCATTTGGAAATATCAGAATAGGCTTAGGCTCCAGGACTTGACTTAGTACAACTCATTTGAAAAGACTCAGGGTTTCAGTTCCCTATGACATGGTTGTGAAAAGCCTCATGTGAGTTAGGTAGCCTTCCTGCCTGTGAAGTGTCCAGGGCACAGGGTACCATCCCCTAGGATGGTGTGAGCTGCTCTTCACTCAGCACTTCCCTGTGCCAGTCATGGAGGCACCCTACCTCCTTACTGCACCAGCACCTCAGCAGACCTCGGACGGAAGGCAGAGCTCTATGTTGTGGTTTTTTAGATGGGGTCCTGCTACCTGGGTTCCCCAGGTTGGCCTAGAACTTCTGGGCTCATTTGATCCTCCCGCCTCCTGAGTGGCTAGGACTACAGGCATGTGTATGCACTTGACTTACTCCTTTCTCTATAAAGGAGGAAGCTAACGTGCAGAGTGGGGGCACTGAAGTCTAGTCAGGGTTTGCAAACCACAGGAACTGACTTGGCTTAGGTAAAACAGTAAGGTTTATGGGAAAGTTCCTAAATAGTTCTCCAATTTCATGGAAGGACAGGCTTCAAACAGTGGCAGGAGCCCGGGGGGGATGAGCCAGGGGTTAGGAAGATGTCATAGACACTGGTACTGGGTGTTAGAAGTACCGTTGCTCCTGTCACCAGCAAGAGAAATTCACCATTGTCTCTGGCTCTCTGTAGCAGCTGCTTTTGAGTCAGAGTTCCGGAGGAACACCTGTTTTGCTGAGCTCAGTTCTTACTCCATTGTACCCTGCTGCCAAAGATGGATGACAGGTGTCTTGTGGTGGCATCTGTACTTGGAGATGGGGTCCACCTTCCACACATCCCCTACTGTGCAGATCCTCTCACTGCCTGAAGGTAGCCTAGGGCCCAGAAATGTCCACTCTCCCTCCATACTACAAAACACCAGAGTGAAAAAAACAGGCTTCTCCAGTCTCATCCACAGGTGTATCCTTAGTGCCCAGAAGAGCATGATGCAGGTGTATGATAAATATCCACAAGTGGGAATGCACACTGTGCTGTCAGGCCTGTCTGCAGTGCTGTGTTTAGTGGTGGACACTACTCCAGACTTCCAGGGAGCCAAAATGTCTCCAGGAGGATTCCGAGTCTGGAAGGGCTGTGTGCTTCTTTCCTCTTTCCTGCTGCTGTAGAGAGCAGGTACTGTAGGTGGCCGCGCTGACCTGCTGTGGGACGTGATTCTGTGTGGCTTCTGACTAGACCTGACCAGGCTGGCTTTAAACGTAAGTGCAGCTGGGTAATTCAAATAGGCAGCCTGTGACTAAGGATAACACTTGGGAGTCACATTGCAGCTCATCGTGACCTGCAGCGCACTTACAGACACTTTGCTTCAGCTATGACATGGGGCTGGCACTGCTCAGGTTGTTGGGGGTTAGCGACAACCTGGGCAGTGTTAGAGGGCCTGGCGTGTATTTGTTCAGTAAATAGCATCTGCTGTTCTTTGTGTTAGCACGCTCTCCCCTCATCTTCATTACTTGCATTTCAGCTTTTCCTTGGCAATAGGTCTTTGTTAGATGAAGAAATGTTTAATGTAGCGGCAGCCAGGCAGATTTCAGAGCTTGGCCCCTCCACCTGGCAGTTGGATGGCTTAAGCTTTGGGCCTCACTTTCTTCACTACAAGTGTGACTACTAATCACACTTAGGTGTGCTTAGAGGAATGGGAGAAAATATACTTGACTCAGTTCTTGGCACACCTTCAGCTTTGCCAGACTGTTAGTTTTCTTTCATAGCGGTAAAGTTGAAGCGTGGAAGGACACGTGGGGTGCTTGCTAGCTTTGTGAATACACGCCTCTTTGGCTCCCAGTCTCCTTAGAAAATGAGAGGTGCATTAGATGGCTGGATATTCTCCTCTCTGAAATGCTTACCCATCTGGATCAGGTGTGGTCCTGGGTGGGATGTCAGCCCGAATCTCCCACGGTGCAGGTTGTTGGAAGAAGAGTCTTCTAAGAGGGCAGAGCTGGAAAAGTGGCATCTGGCACAGCAGCAGGCCATTCAGATGACCGAGGCTGAGAAGCAGGAGCTGGAGCAGCAGCGCATCATGAAGGAGCAGGCTCTGCAGGAGGCCATGGTGCAGCTGGAACAGCTGGAGCGCGAGCGGAAGCAGGCGCTGGAGCAGTATGAGGTGGCTGAACTTAGACCCGCACAGACCTGTATTCAGCTCCTTAGAAATGTTGTTTGAGCTAGCCAGGCTTGCTATTCCCAGCACTCGGGAGGCAGAGGCAGGCAAATCTCTGTGAGTTTGAGGCCAGCCTGGTCTCCATTAGTGAATCCAGGCCAGCTGCAGCTACAGGGAGACCTTGTCTCAAAACCAAAAAAAAAAAAAAAGAAATGTTGTTGAGCAGGGCTAAGGTGTCACTCCATGGGTCAGTGCTTTTATAGCTACCATGAGGCCCTGGGCTCTTTCCTCAGATCTGCAGAAGCCAAACCAAATAATAAAAACTCCAGTATCACTTGACTGTCGGCATGAATCTGTAGCAGAACCTTGCTTAGCATAGGGAAGAAGAGGAAGTTTTTGTAGGGGCTGAGGAGTCTGTCCACTCAGTCAGGAGACAGAAACCAGAGCAGAATGTAAGCCGGAGAAGCCCAATTTACAGAGTTATGAACTGTGACAGAGGGCCCCTACTAAGCTGCAGAATGAGCACGTCCAAGCAAGGGATGGCAGATAGAGCAGCAGCCATTGCCTCAGGCCTGGCAGAGCACCCTGGGGAGGGTCACACCTGTGGGAGGCTGCCCCATTCCACAGTGCTATAACTAGAGCTCCCTGGAGGGGCCGATGATGGCAGAGAGGTAGCTGAGGTGTGGGACCACAGGAAGCTGCTGAGAACTCCTGAGCACCATGGGTGTCCCGAGTGCTAGCAGGGAGAGGAGCCCCTCCACGTCCCCTCAGTGCCTGCTACTCCCAACAAAGATGGGCCGGGTAGTGAAGGCAAATGAACTTGTAACACTGACAGGTAGGGAGGGGCAGGTGTGGAGCAGAGAGGCAGTACACAGACACGTGTAGCTTAACATGTCAAGTGAGTGTGTGAGAATAGCTCTGGAATCAGATGCCAGGCTCCATTCTGCTTCCTCCCGCACGGCCTTGGGCACATTGCTTAAGTTCTCTGAACCCGTTTCCTTTGCTGTGCAGTGGGGTCACAATAGTCCTTCTTGAGTGGCTGTGCAGGCTTAGTGAGAGAGCCCATGAGTGCGCAATAAGTGCCTGTCCTTGTCATTGGTCAAACTGCCTTCTGTTCTAGGGAGTTAAAAAGAAGCTGGAGATGGCCACTAGTAAGACCAAGAGCTGGAAGGACAAAGTGGCTCATCATGAGGGGCTGATACGGCTGATCGAGCCAGGTAATTGTGCTTTTTAAGTAATCATGTATTGATTTTAAAATTGATTTTTTTCTTGTATTTGTGAATTTGAATTGTATTTTTAAAAACTTTTTTAGGGACACAAAACTTTTGGTTAAATTCCCAGTAAGGGCACATGCCTGCAATCCCAACTTTCTTGAGGTGGAGGAAGAGGATCAGAGGTTTGAGGTCATCTTGAGATGGTTTAATGAGTGGCCACACAGCCTGACTACCTGAGTTCAGACTCTCGGAACCCACATAAAAAACTGGATGTGGTAGGGCACGTCTGTAATCCCATAGTTCCTACAAGATGGGAAGAGGAGACAGTCACCCTGAAACTCATGGATCACCCCGGCATATTTGAGAACTTAATCCCCAAAGTTATCCTCTGACCTTCATACAGATGCTGTGGCACATTTGCGTGTGCACGCATGCACACGCACGCACACACACAGATTTAATTCCATAAATCTATAATATATAAATATTACATTGTATAATGTTTTTATAAAAAATATATAAAAGCCAAGCTACTCAAGGTAAATTTCTCAGAATAATGTGCCCTCCTTAGGTGAGAGACCCAGGAGATCCCCCTGCACATATCTTGTATTCTTTTGGCTGGTGTGCCTTGTTGGGCATTCTGCAGCGGTCGGGTGGAAAAGCTGATTTGTCCCTGGAGAGGAGACGAGCGCTTTGCAGAGTGTAAGTCTTCCTGCATTGAAAGCATGCTTGTTGCTTAGGTTCAAAGAACCCTCACCTGATCACCAACTGGGGACCTGCAGCTTTCACCCAGGCAGAGCTGGAGGAGAGAGAGAAGAGCTGGAAAGAGAAGAAGACCACGGAGTGACTGCACACAGAGCTCACCTCAGTCACAGGCAGGGTGGTTTTACGCCAAGGACAGAGGAACTGGCTTTGCTGCTTCGAATTCTTCCATCTGGGCCTCCAGTGGCTCCAAGTGCTAAAGAGACCTTACTTACCTTCCTGAAAACAAGGACTTACCTGAGAAGGAAAAAAGTCCATTTTGCAAGCTCTTTGTTTACTTTTGCTTCTGAAAATTTCACTTAGCTCAGTCTGTCTCCCAGGCGAGGAGTGCAGAGGTGTGGCTGGCTCGGCGCCACATGTAGCCCTGGTGGCTTGCTGGGTCTCAGTACCCTCTTTGGAATGCCAGCTGTTTCCTCCTCCTGGTGGCTTTCTGCTTGCCCTTCTGTACTGGATGACCTGGCAGGCCTTCATTGTTGGTGCTCTGATGGACAAATTTCCTGTGTGCCCTGGTAGGTGGGATCTCATTCTTTCCCTGACCCTCATGCACTTGGCATACCTTATTCCTATTTCCTTTCACCTCATCTCAAAGCAAAACATACCCTGGCCCTGTCTCAGCCTAACTCTCTGCATTGTTCACTATTTTTCCCCACTAGCAAAATGATGTGCGTCCATGTGTGAGAGGGTTATGTGGGCTAGTAGAGAGGCCAACTGGAATAAACTGCTTGGTTTGTAGGAAAGCTGTGTGGGCACAGACAGTGCAGGGCTGATCAGACAGTGTCACAGGAAGGCCAGCCATTACCTTAGCTAGGCTATAGCTTTCATTGGTTCTCAACCCCTCTTTGGATGAAGAATCATCTGTTTCCTCCTCTGATTGTCTGGCCTGCTTCTCCCTTTATCCCTGGGTGACACTGAGGAAAAGCCCAAGAAAAGTAAGTGTAGCAGGGAAATTGGGGTCATTGACTATGTGTTTCTCGTTTGAAAAGGGTATTATAAGGGTATTGAAGGTTTTCATCTATAATCTGGCTTTGGATTGAGAACAATACTTCTGAAATTAAGCCTTCCCACACTAGTTATTATTTATAAGTAGCAGTAACTCCAGAGAGCCAGGCTGCTAAAAATTGTGGAGAAATATGAAGATTCATAGTTGTTAGAGAGTAAGTCTACCAATCATGAGCATGGGAGGCTGAGCACGAGTCAGCGTTCAGTAGCAGAGAACAGGAACCAGAAACCACGTGTATTCCCTCCAGCGCTTCCTCAGAGCAGAGAGTAAGCTGTTCCAGAGGGTGTCTGCAGTTCTAGAGATTTTAGTGTGTTTATTTACGTGATGGGAAACTGGACTTAATTCCATAAATCTACCTTCTACGACTAGAAAATATTTGCCTTAAGATTATTGACTGTTTATTAAAAATGTAATTTTATTTAATGATTTTAGTTGCCTTTCTAAAGTTTAGATTTTTATCTAAAGTATCTTGGTATCATGAATCTTCCAAATTTAACAGTTAATTTGGGTGCTGGTTTCTGCGTGGTCACTTACTGGTCTTATTCTTGCATTTAGTGGCTGCAGGTTTATGAGGCCAAGGAGAGCCTTTGGGGTGGCTTGATTATGTCTCACAGGGGACTCCAGTGTACCTCGAAGAATGAGGGAAAGAAACTGTACCAAGAAGCCAGTGGAGTCTCCAAGGTAGATGCAGTGTGGGAGTCTAGTAGCCCACCAGAGGGTACAGTGGTGGTGGGGCATGCCACTTCCTGCTCTGCAGATGACCCTCCTTAAACCTGGCTTTTCCACAACTACAGCCAGGACATGACCAGGGCTCCCATGGACCTCACTGTCTGGCCTGGGTTGTCAGCCTAAATACTGCCTGCTTTCTGGTCACATAGCAGTGTGTGCCGCCCTGCAGGTGTCGGCGCACGTTCTAGCTTTACTGACTGACTGTGGCCAGGAGGCAGAAGTCCATTTAAACAGTGACCATAGGGACACAGCATAGAAATGAACTGTGCAAATCCATTTGGGATGATACTTGGATATGAATTGAATTCCTCCTGATATTTAAATGGTTTCTACTGTCAAAAGTGCCTATAGACCCTTCATTACTTTTGTAATTACTGTACAGACAATTTCAGGAGCATTTGAATGTTTGTTATAATCAACCCTTTTCTATAACTACAGATAAGATTATCTACAGGAATTAGGAATGAAAAAGTTTTAGAAATTGTTTTTGTGATCTGTTATGTTGAGAGGGAACCAGATATTTATAATTTTCAAGCATTCTTACCTGAACATTATACAATGTAATATGACCAATTTTCTTAAATTTTGCTAATTTTTTAAAGATATATTAAAAATGTTTTCTATGTTTTTTTGTCTTTTGTTTTTAGTAAAATGAACTCAAGAAAATTAAACATACCAGATCATCCTACATTTTAAGCTGGTTTAATAAAAACAGTGGGGTAAAGAGAGGAAAAGAGAGAGCTTTCCTATAGTCATGTGGACTTTGGCTTAGAGACACTTCTGGAAACACTGGGTTTGGAGTTAAGACCCCAGGTTTGCTCTGGCCTCATGTTTATTGTTTGAGTCACAAATGTGGGAAACCCCGGCGGATGTGTCAACTCAAGGACGTGCGCTTCAGAGCTGATTTCTTCGTTGTTGCTGTTACTGCCAAAGTCTCCTACCTCTGTTTTCTCAGATTTTCTTTTTTGTCTTTGAGTTTTTCTTTCGCCAGAATATAAACAGTGTGGTTCTTCTGTTTTGGTTTATATGGTCACCAAGATGAAAACTCTTATTGTGGACAAAGCAAGCCCACTCAGTCTAGCTTATGTATTGAAAAGCTGGTTTTCCCTTTTAGAGAGAGGAGGTGGGTGTTTGTAAAAACTGTTCTCTATTGCAGTGGTCCTCAAGTGGGACACTTTGGCCCCCGAGGGGACATTTGGTAATGTCTGGAGGCATCTGTGAGTTTCATAACTAGAAGGAATGTTGCTGGCATCTAGTAGGTGCTGGCCAGAGACGCTGCCAACACCCTGCCATACACAGGGCAGCTCCCCACCCTTCCCACCCCCGCAACAATACTGCCTGCCCTGAAATTAGCAAAGGCAATGTGCTGTAAAGAACTCAGCAGGCCTTTTGTTCTATTAGGTAGGGATACCATGGATTGAATGAGTTCAAACTGGCCTTGAACTTACTCTGTTGTCCATTTAGGCCTTCGGCGGCAATCCCCCTGCCTCAGCCTCCCTGATAGCTGGGATTACAGGCATGCCACCAGGCCCAGCCTCACAGGTTTTTGGAGTCGGTTTCCCTTCACAGAGTCCCAGGAGTTGGCCAGCCTCGGTCAGTACTGAATGCCTGGAAGAGAAAGTGACTGTGAAGGAAACCTGGCCAGCTCTGAAATACAGCACGTCCCCATGGAGACCACGGCGGGCTCTAGGGCTTCCCCTGCAGGTGGCTGCTGTGGTCTGAAGGTGTCCCCCTAAGAACCCGTGTTGGGGCCTTCACCCCCCAGTGTCACGGTGTTGGGAGGTGGGACTCAATGGGACCGCAAGACTGAACTCCTGGGTGGTAAAGGATAAACTCTGTTAACGTTAGTGCTTTCTCCATCTGTGGTGGTCTAGCAGCAGGGAGTGTAAGCTGGGCAGACAGGTGGGACTCTGCTGTCCTGCGTGGTGGAGGAGAGCCAAGGGCAGAGGCCTGGGCTGGCCTGGCTAGACCCTCTCAGGGACTGCTGTGGGTGTTTTAAAGGGTTTCTGTGTAGGGTTGCAAAGCTGCCTCAGGCCTCGTCTCCCCCAGTGTGGCACTGGATCTATCAGCGCCACCCAGCCCTTGGTGAGGAATGAGCGATCATTACGCCCAGGTGCTGAGGTGCCCTGCACAGCCCCCGTACTTGTTCTAAACCCATATTGGACCAACCAGATCCAGCTGCCCAGTGGTGGAGGGCATATGAATGAGGCAGGTCCTGCAGAAGAGGTTCCCACAGCCTATCCCGAGGTGCTTCAATATATTGGAAGGAGATTCTGTCTTTGGGGACTAAGACATAACCTTTTTCTCTTTTTCCTTTTCTATTTATTTTTATATTCAAAAGTAAAAACGAACTCTCAGTTTTGAGAGAATATTGCAGAAAATCAACTAAAGCTGAAGATTTGGGTGGTTTCTGGTTTGGGGCCATTTTAAACAGTTGCTATGACTCTTATGGTAAAAGTCTCCAGTAGACACAAGCTTTGTTTCTCTTGGGTAGAACTACTGAGCCAAAGGTTAGATGGCTGTCTACACTCGAGCTGTGGAAAGCTGGGCATGGTAACACATGCCTGTAATCCCACCGTATGGGTGAAAGTCGGAGGATCTGGAGTTTAGGGTCATCCTCAGTGACATAGTTCAAGGATAGCCTGAGCTACATGAGACCCTGTCTCAAAAAATGAGAGGGAGGAGGGAAAGTTGTGTGTGCTCTGTGGGGCTGTGGGGTATCTGGAAGGGTGGACCTGGCCCAAGACCCTATTGGCAGAGAAGGAACTGGTGTGCTCAATCATACTGGGATTCCTGACTCAGGATGCTGTGTGCTACATCATGTGCCTACCACCTCTCGGGTCCCTCCATCACATCGGGATTTGAGCACTTTTTTCTCAGTTTCTGCCCACATCAGGCATGTCATGCATCACCCCAGCATGCAGAAGATGTGGTTAAGTCCCGTGTTAAGCTTCCGTTGACCCTTTCTGAGGTTGCTGAGTCTTTGACCTTGGGCCCTAGGTACACTTGTGGTGGACACTAAATTCCAACCTTAGTCTAGACTCAGCCTTCCTTTCCTGTTTCTACCACACAAATGCAGTCCCTGGTCTCTCAAGGCCATGCACCCTCAGGAATGTGGGCCTTTCTCTTTGTTTATGTCTGCCTCCATGGCAGTTGACAGGCCAGCAGAGGGCCCGTAGGTGTGGGCACAGGCGAGTTCTGTTCTGCTTCTGCCTCCCTAGCTTTAGTTCCCCCCATTTCACCCTGCTTCTCTCCTTCAGACCAGCAGCCTATGCTGGGGTTCAGGGAGAAACTGTTTCTCCTCTGCTGTCAACTGGGAGTGTCCTAGGGACACTGTCCACCACAGGCAGGATTCAGACCTGCTGCCGCCATGCTCCCCTGTCTCCTACTCCTCTTCTGAGTCTTGCCAATGGGAGAGAGTGTCCCAGTGCCAGCCTGGGCACTCTGTTCCCACTGGGAGAGCATTTGGGCCTGAAACACCTGTTTACAGAGAGCACACTATAGAAAAGACTTCATCCCAGAGCCCGGAGGCCTGGTAGCCCTCACTGCACTGAGCTGAACTGGTAGCCCTCACTGCACTGAGCTGAACTGGTAGCCCTCACTGCACTGAGCTGAACTGGTAGCCCTCACTGCACTGAGCTGAACTGGTAGCCCTCACTGCACTGAGCTGAACTGGTAGCCCTCACTGCACTGAGCTGAACTGGTAGCCCTCACTGCACTGAGCTGAACTGGTAGCCCTCACTGCACTGAGCTGAACTGGTAGCCCTCACTGCACTGAGCTGAACTGGTAGCCCTCACTGCACTGAGCTGAACTGGTAGCCCTCACTGCACTGAGCTGAACTGGTAGCCCTCACTGCACTGAGCTGAAGCTGGCTACAGGGCTATGAAGGGTTTCCCTCTGGAGCCCTCAGTCCTTGTTCCCTACTTCCGCTGGCACTTGGAATACTAAGTTGGAAAAGAGTCTGGGCATCAGTCACACAGATCTGAATTCTAATCGTGGTTCTGAGGCAGGATAGCTAGTCAGGAAATAGAGGAGACATGAGAAGAGAAAGGACCCCTTTACATACATGCACACTTGCTCACACATGCACACACAAACTCAAGGTTCTGATTGCCATCTCCCTGGCTGACACCCAGGAGTTTTTGTTAAAACTGAGCAAAAGAACTGTGCTCCCCTTTCTGAGAAATATCTCACAGGAGATTGCTAACAAGGCCAATGAACCATCTCTTCAATCCATCCTGTGATCTATGTATAGCTAAGGTCCCTCTGATGGATGCTTTATCTCTACACACCTCCCTCCTCTGGCTGCACACTCATAAGTGTACCTACAGTCTCTTCAAGAACAGAACTCTATGAACAGGAAAAAGTAATGTACAGCACATGCTTTCCCTAATACCTGATTAGAGTCACAGAGCCTCAATCACAGTTACGCTGACGCACTCGGGTAATTCCTTACCGAACGCCTGAACTTGCTCCACTTCCAGTCTCTCTTTCTGCTTAATCAGTAAACTCCCTAACTTTACTTCACTCTTCCTAAAGTTCTTTTTTTTTTTTAAATAAAAAAATTATTTTATTTTTATGTGTTCAAGGGCTTTGCCTGCATGTATATAAATGAACTCATGTATGCAATGACCATGGAGGCCAGAAGAGAGTGTTGGATCCCCTGGAACTGAAGTTTGCAAATGGTTGTTAGCTGCCATGTGGGTGCTGGGAACCAAACTCTGCAGCCAGTGCTCTTAACTGCTGAGCCATGTTGCCAGCCCTCTGAAGTTCTTTTTTTAAACTATCTTTTATTCTTTGACAATTACATACATGTATACAATGTATTTCAATCATATCCACCCCCAACTCTCTCCCCCGAGACACACCCCAATAGGTCCTCTCCCATCTTTTTATTTTTTGGTAACAGTCCAATGAGTGCTGCCTGTGGACTGTTGATGACTGATCTTGTTGACTGATTGCCTGCAGGTGACCACAGCTGCATTGAATCATGAATGCAATGTCCATGTCCCATCCAGAAGGCAGCATTTCATGGCACCTCTCCATCCTCTGGCTCCTACATTCTTTCTGACCCTCTTCTGTGATGTTCCCTGAATCATGGGGTGGGGGTTGGTAATGTCCCATTTCAGCCTGAGCATTCAACAGCCACTTATTCTCAGGACTTTGGCCCATTGTGAGTCCTGCATGAACTGTCACCCAATGCATAACGTAGCCCCTCTGACCAAGGTTAAGAGCAGCATTAATTTGTGGAGTCAATTGCTGGCCCAGCTGTACTGGGTTGAAAGGCACAGTCTCAGATCCCTCTGGCTCTAGCAGGCTTCACACAGTGCTGTGCTGGGAAGGGCAAGCAGACCAAATTCTTTTCAGCAATGCTAAGTCAAAAACCAATCTGCAAATGTGGTGAGGTCCCCCAAGGTTCTGAGGGATCTCCTTGGGCAGCTGGTCTCGTGCTCACCCTCGAGGCTCTGAGGAGTTTCCTTGTGCCAGCTCCCTGTGTTACCTGAAAGGGTTGGACTCAGGTTGTACTCACTGAGGACAGGCACAGCGAGGTCCTCAGAGTGTTACACCTGGAGCACATGCTGGCCCCTCCTCATTAGGGGGACACTGTGTTCTGCCCCGCCTCCACA